TGAGTGCGCTCCAGCGCGGCTGCGGCAGCACACGGCTCGGGTCTTGGCTGTCATCTCTGGAGGGCAGCTGGGCACCTTGTCGGACACAGGGCAGGACCGCCCTGAGCTGGTTCTGTGGTGACACCTTCCCCTGTGACTGCCGTCCGCCCCGGGTAGGTTGGGGGCGGGGGCTGAGGTGAGGGGGAGAGCCAGGGAGGGGTGCTGCCTGTTGTGAGCAGCCAGGGCTGGGACCCAGCCGACAGGAGGGCGCATAAGCCTCGGCCGTGCTTGTCAGCAGGCAGCAAGGGAGCCACGACTCGTGGCCGTGAGCACCAGGGCCTGCTCGGTGCTGGGCACTGCAAGGCGGGCAGCTGTGAGGGGCTGGGCGGCCCCGGGAAGGACGGGTGGGTGGGGAACCAGAGCGCAGACCCGCTTCCTGTCCGGGGTCTCCGTGGAGGATACAGCCGTGGTCTGTGACGTGTGGGCCGGGCTCACCCGTATGTGTCCCAGGAATCCCGGTGCCTTGGTGGCCACACAGCTCCTGCTCCAACAGGCGGGGCAGCGAGGCCACAGCGTCCCGACGTCCTCCCTCAGAGGTGGGGCAGCGAGGCCACAGCGTCCCCACGTCCTCCCTCAGAGGTGGGGCAGGGAGGCCCCTTCCCGCCTGTTCTGAGACCCTGCGTTGGGTCCGGGGTTCGAGGCGTGTGGGCAGTGGGAGAGGCCTGCCTGCCGTCCGTGCCGACACCACCTGAGCCCCGGGTTCTGAGCAGCTAGAAAGTCTGGATGCGTAACTCGGTGCGCGGAGTGACCCTGGAGTCCTCGTAGCCCCGTCCTGTGATGTGGGCCCGTGGGCATCCGCTGGCGGCCCCGTCGTGTCCCCTGCCCCGCCTCCGGCTTCAATGCGGCATCAGGAGCGTGTTTCGAGGTTACACATTCCCACGTGGGGACGTGTCGTGGGTGCGTGAAGCGCTCTTTGTGGCTGGGCTGTAGTTTACTCAGTTGAGTCCCTGTGGCCGGATGTTGAGCTAGTCCCTCTGTTTCGTTTACTGACCTGTGACTCACACCGTCAGTCCCGCCGATGGTCGCCCCCAGCAAGTGCGCTCGGCATCGCGCCTGCGTCTGGAGGCCGGGTTCCTGGAGACGGGCCACTGTCCCCGCGGTGGTAGGTCCCTGAGGGCTGGGAGCGTGAGAACCTGCTGTAGCGTCGCAGTTCGTCCTGCCCACGAGCCCCAGCGGAGCAGCTCCTGCGGCCCCAACAGCAGACGGCGCGCCCCCAGTTAGAGGGCCCCCCACACCTGCCTGTTTCCGGGAGAGCGTGGCCCAGAGGCCCCCGTGCTCCCCTCCCCTCGCTCCGGCTCTGTCCCTGAGCCTCTGTCTGCCTCTCCCGCCCCTCCTGCCCCTCAGCTCCAGCCCCAGATGAGGTGCCCGTGCGAGGGACAGGCCAGGCCGCTTCCCGTGGCCAGAGGGGCGAGCAGCCGGCCTGAGCCTGAGGGAGCGTGACTGCCAAGTTCCCCGAGAGCCGGGCAAGGCCGGGGTCAGTGTGTGCGGGCGGTGGGCTCCCAGGAGGCCACGGGGCCACCAGCCTTCCCTCTGTCCTTGGTACGTGGTCTGTCCCTTGAGCTGATTTGGAGTCCTGTGTGTTTGTCCTGCTGTGGGTCATCCAGTTGCTTGGATTGTGGGTTTACAGTTCATCAGATTTGGAACGTTGGTCTCTCGTTTCTTTATTGTTTCTGTTCCTCTCGTCTTTACTGGGACTCCAACTGCACATGTTAAAATCCCTTGGTGTTACCCTGTTGGTCACGATGCTCTGGCCGTGTGTGTGTGTAGGGACAGGCTGGGCCAGCTTCCTGGGGCCAGAGGGGCGAGCAGCCGGCCTGAGCCCAAGGGAGCGTGACTGCCAAGTTCCCCGAGAGCCAGGCAAGGCTGGGATCAGTGTGTGCGGGCGGTGGGCTCCCAGGAGGCCACGGGGCCACCAACCTGCCCTCTGTCCTTGGTACGTGGTCTGTCCCTTGAGCTGATTTGGAGTCCTGTGTGTTTGTCCTGCTGTGGGTCATCCAGTTGCTTGGATTGTGGGTTTACAGTTCATCAGATTTGGAACGTTGGTCTCTCGTTTCTTTATTGTTTCTGTTCCTCTCGTCTTTACTGGGACTCCAACTGCACATGTTAAAATCCCTTGGTGTTACCCTGTTGGTCACGATGCTCTGGCCGTGTGTGTGTGTGTGTGTGTGTGTGTGTGTGTGAGAGTGAGAGTGTGTGTGTGCGAGCGCGCGTGTGTGTGTGTGAGCGTGTGTGCAGTCACCCTGCGGGCTGTCGAGGGTCAGGCGCTGGTCTCCCTGCTCAGGCCTCTGTGCCTGCGGACAGGTGGGGGTCACGAGGTGCCTCGCCCAGAGGCCAGCTGTGACCCACTCAGCCCTTTCTCTTCTGAGGGAAGCGCCCCTCTGGGCAGCGCTGCTGGGCCACCCACCTCGAAGGGCCCAGAAGCCCAGCCACGGGGCCTCCAGAACCTCACGCCGTTCCACGCTGGCCTATGAGCTGGGCTCTGCCTGTGCCAACTCTGAGATCTGCTTATGCCCGAGCAGAAGGCACGGGGGGCCCAGGGCTCTCGCTGCCCGGCCCCAGGCCGTCCCAAGGTTCGTGGACGCTCCAAGGCCGCCAGGCAGTGAGAGAGAGAGGGAGGGAGAGTCTCTTTCCGGGTTGGCTGGAGCGTCTGGCTGTGTCTAAGTTGATGACCTTTCCCTGGCGAGTCTAATCTGCTTCGTCCACCCAGTGAATTCCATCCCAGATGCTGTGTTTTCGTGTCTGGAGGTCACCTGGTCCATCTGTGTCTCAGTTTCCCCCTCGCTGTAGTTCTGTGCTGTGACAAGCGCCTGTGAAACTTCACCTCCCGACACAGCCAGGGTCACCGCCCAGTCCTGAAGGCGGGATCCCGGGCCGTTCGGGGGGCGTTCGCAGGGGTTCTGCCCGGGTCTCCCTGCGGCTGGGCCACAGGGCCGTCTCCGCCGTGTGCTGAGGTCACAGGACCTGCTCTCAGACACGCAGGTGCTCGTGAGTGCGCATGCGCGCGCGTGTGTGTGTATGAGAGTGTGAGTGTGTGTGCGTGTGTGAGTGTGAGTGTGTGTGTGTGTGTGTGTGTGTCCTGGCCGCCAGTCCTGGCTGACTGCGCAGGCGCCATTAGCTCGCGTGGCCGCTGGGGAGGCCCGGGAGCTGAGCGCCTCCAGGTGCAGGAGGAGGCTCCGTGGAAGGTCTGTGATTACTACTGAGCGTCTCTGCCGCCACCAGCTCCTGTCCTAGAGGCTGGTCTGCACGTCAGCCCCTCCCCACGGGCACTTCTGTAAACAATATTAAAGCAGTTTTTCCAGGGAGACCGGAGGGGAAGGGGGAGTGGGGATGCCCTGAGCCTCCAGGCCCTGAGCAGGCCAGGCTCTGGTCTCCACGCAGGGCAGGAGGGGCGCACAGAGCCGCGTGCAGGCCGTTCGCAGGGGTTCTGCCCGGGTCTCCCTGCGGCTGGGCCACAGGGCCGTCTCCGCCGTGTGCTGAGGTCACAGGACCTGCTCTCAGACACACAGGTGCTCGTGGCTGAAAGCTTGGCCTCCTCACCGTGTGGGCCTCCTCGCAGCACGGCGGCGCCTCAGGCAGCTCTGAGGTTCCCTCTGGAACAGGCGCCAGGGCTGTTGGCCCTCATGCCCACAGTTTAATTAACTTTTAAATTATATCCCGTCACCGGCCGCACTCGGGGCCGGCTCTCAGCACCCGCGCAAGGTCTGGGCTCTCACCCATCCGGCCCTTCGGAGTTCGGGTGCCTGGGTTCATAGTGTCTTCCCGCTTGGCCCTCCGGCCAGGGGACACGGTGACATCCACGCCAGCACCTGCACAGGAGCACAGCCAGCCGCTCAGTCCCCTGCACTCGGCTGCAGGAGAGCATCCAGCAGACGGGGAACTGGGCCACTGCCGGCGCCACACGGCCCTCACCCCCTCAGGTGGTCCCCGCTCTGTTCCTGCGCATCCTCGTCTCCCCAGCACTGCTCCGGCCGCCCAGGGCCTCAGCTGGGCCTCGGGCCTCTCCTCCCAGGTCACCAAGGCCCATAGGCCTGCCCTCCACCCTGCCTCCACCTCCTCTCCCCAGGCCTCCCATCGCCAGCCTGCAGGGGCTGATGCTGTATGTGAACCCTGACCCCTGACGCCTGATCCTCACTTGGCCATAGCAGGCATGAGTCACGTCCACGGAGGGAGGACAGCCCCCTGCCCTGTGTCGTGTCCTGGGAAGACCACCCAGCACGTTGCTGCCTCCCCATTGGGGCCTCGGCTGGGAGCCCGCCCCGCCCCACCCGCGTCTCCCTTCCCTGCTCATAGCAGCTGCTCCCAGGGCCCCGCGGTCGATTAAACCCCGGTGTCAGGAGCCCGTGCCGACCGGCACGGTTAAGCCGGGCCGGCCAGTGCCCCTGGAGCTGTCTCCCTGTGAGGCTGCCGCCTGGCATTTAGGGAACAGACAGCCCCGGTAGAGGGCAGCCGCAGTCGAGACCCAGGGCGGGTCCCAGTGGGGGCGGGACAGGTGCAGCGGGAGAGCACGTGGTGGACTCAGCAGGAGGACCTGGGGGAGGCGGGGCTAGCTCCTCCCGGTGGCCTCCCTCCCTGAGCCCCTCCGCCTGCTCAGGGTCCGGCGGTGAGTTGTTGGTGTGTTGGCTCCCAGGACACCTGGCGAGTGGGCCGAAGGCACAGCCCCGGCGGGATCGGGCATTTGAGCAGACGCTGGGCGGCTGGGGGTGAACAGTGGG